ATTGGGATTTTTCTGTGTTAAGTTTACATGTTCTCCCTGTGCTTGCATGTGTTCTTTCCAAGTTTTCAGCTTCCTCCCACCTTCCAAAAACATGCATGTTAGGTTGACTGGACACTTCAAATTACCCCTAGGAGTGAATTTGAGTGTCTGTGGTTGTTTTTCTCTGTGTGGCCCTGTCATGGACTGGCAATCTGCCCAGGGTGTACCCCCTGCCTCTCGCCCATTGTCAGCTGGGATAGGCTCCAACCCCCCCTGCAACCCCATTTGGGTATAGAAAATATCCTTATCCTTAACCCTAACCCTAACCAAATCAATGACTAGACGTATACATAAACTTAAACAACAAGCAGCAGATGGGACATTTTTTTAAAGAAAACCTTTCACCCACCAAGCCAAGCAAGGCTGTCTCATCGTCCAGTACTGGACTATCAATGATCCTCAAATAACCCTAGGTATGTAATTTGTGGCTGGTAAATGCAATTTAGATGTATTACCTCAGCCACCACCTATATAACCTGTCAAAAGATTGACAGGTTGACGCGCTGTTGCGAACCCTATTGGGAAAAGCCAAAAGGCAAAAACCAGCAACGCTTTAACTGGGAACTATTGCTCAAGACAGATAGAGTCTAACTACTTTTTTATGTGCATTAATATTTATGGTGTAAAGGTGAAACTTTGGATATAATAAATTCACCAAAAAAAGGGCTTTTCAACTGTTGCACTGGTTTTAATGAATGTTAGAATGCTGTTGGTTTTGTTTTGTTTTTTTTCCTATTTTTGCAGAAACATCTACTCTTTTTTACTTTTAGAAAATAATTATTTTATCATTTTCTTAAAATGGTAAAGGAAAAGTCATTCAAATGAAAATGTGAAACATTCAACCTCTGACAAAAAATAAATAAATAGAACTGCCACACACTGGAGGATGTTCATTAATAAAAGATTCTAAAATAAATTAATAAAAACTTTACTTATTTGACTCAAGCCTAAACATCTTAAGGAGTTAACTGCGCGTGCTTGCTGAGCTAAACCATTTGTTGCTGCTGGCTGACTGACAGGAACCATGTCCCCAGCAGAGAGCTCTCAGTGGAAAAAAGGGAACCGATAATAAAACCTCAATCAGGAATGTAATTTAATTTGGGGTGTGGCAGAAGATGCTGGTTGACCCTAGTTTGCTGTGTAGGAAATTTGGAGCAAGTAAAATGGGTCCCTATGTATAACAAAAAATCAAATATATATATATATATGGTTACATTCAGAGCAGCCAAACCTAAACAATTATTAATATCTACAGATCTACAGAGAAGGAAACAAGGTTACAGTGAGTTAAGAGCATGAGAAAGTTTCTGAGCATTTCTCTTCCAAGAACACATCTCACACCTGTATTAATGTTTTTTTTCTTTTTCTTTTTTCACTCTAAGTAAGGAGGGGAATGGCAGATGTCCCTCTGAGATCATCTTAAGGGCCTCCTCACACAGGTGAATAGTCCCTAACAGTCAACCAGTGACTGTTAGCTAAGCTACTATGTGCTGGAGGCGTCCAGAAGGAAAAAAAAGGGTTTTGCAAAAATAATCAGTACGAGAGGGGGATTTTATTGTTCCTTATGCCAAAGAGATTTTCAAGAGTTTTTGCACAGACGCGATGAAACACTTTGCCTAATAACATTTGCTGCCTGGTTGCCAGTTCTGTACTTACTTAATTCTTACCAAACCACAGGCAGTGATTTACTAAATGCAGAGAGAGAGAGCAGCGTGAAAAAGTGAGACAGCATGAGTCAGACAAGCGGCACAAATCTCTCAGAGCACCATTACTCTGACTCAATGAAGGGCCTGTGGAAGCAGCCCCGGCTAACCCCTGACATCCCATTTTCTCCCTATTCACTACTGAGAATCATCTGGGACTTCCTGACAATGTGACTTGAATTTCAGGAACGTGGAGTGAGCTTTTTTCTGATGACTAAGACAATCATCCTCCTTCCTGTATCTCAAGGACATGTACCAATTTTTTTTTACCTTATATCGTTCAGGACATGTGTCTATAATAAAGGCGTCACAGAGACTTTAAAATCTTGTGCCATATGTGTCTCAGTGGGTCAGTATTAAACCATAATGATGTTTTGTAATTGAACTTGATGGAAAAATTCAATATTAATGTGATCAAATGAAAAATAGACATATATGTATACCTTACCAGCCTTGCGAAGGATCCCTATCTGGGAGCCAGTAATGGCGGAGTAGTCCTTGTCAGAAATGACTCGGATGCTTACACCCTTGCTGTGCAGCAGTAGCACAGCCCTACTCAGATCCATGTTAGAAAAAGAAAAAAGACACACGTCCAGAGAGGTGGAGGCAGAAAGGATGCGACGGAGAAGATGGGAAAGAGAAGTCTCTACGCTGTGAGGCAAAGAGCAGCAACAAGAACTGGAGGAACAGAGACCAAGAAAAAAGTTAGTTAGCAACGCAGATACTTAAAAGTCCTTAAAAGTACAGAGTCTGACACATTTATCAGTCATCTTGTATGAAGCTGTGGATGCTGGTAATTGTATTCATGATATTTCAGATACATTTTATAAGTTTGTGAACCCAACACAAAATATAACATTTTTTATTTGGTCCCAGTTCACTAATTCTTTTTCTCTTATGATGAGGATCCCTACATTTATGTCTCCTATGAAGAATTCTTGTCGGTAGTTGATAGAAACAGGTCAGTCTCAAAATATTGGGGCCAATATTTAGTTTCCAGAGAGTAAAATTTTAGAGTAAAAATAAATGCATGTAACAATCAATCACATGCAACATTATAGTTACAATCCTGCATTTTTGCTTTTATGGTAATTATATACTTAAACGTCACATTTTGGGGGGGAGTCCATTTATGTTTAAGCATCACACAAAAGTCTACTTCTTCATACTTATCAAAGGCGTAATCATTTTTCATATTATCTAATATTTTTCAAACTGAAAATGTACCAATAGATCATTGTTATTTTTCTTTAATAAACTTCTTGAACGCCTTGCAAGAAATCTAATGAAAATTACTAATTTTATTGATTGTCTTTAGAAGCCGTGAGACACACAATCAACAGGTCACGACACTGTCATGAGGAGAACCATGGAGAGATTAAAATGTATTTCACTTACTGATGTGAATTGGGAGTAAAAGTGTGCTCCACGCATGCCACCTTTGAGGGGAAGAACAGAACCTCATTGAGGGTTCTTCTCGACCTGAGACGACTGAGGAACCAGCCGAAAAGCTCCAGGCTGACAGTGAGGGCCACTATGCCCAGGCCAACCACCTTCATGGTCACCATCATTGAAATCTACCACAGCATGACAACATGCAACGGTTTAGTGAAGTCCAACACCAACCTACTTAAGCCCTAACCAAGTGATATGATTAATCAGGCAATCTTTATTTTTAAAGAATTTTGCAGTCAAAATTGTTAAGAAGAAGAAGGAAGACATAGACAAAAAAGACATACATGAAGAAAAGAAAAAGAAAAACATGGACAACTAACTTCCCCAATCTCCAAACACACAAGTCATACATATGCACACAAATATAGACAGAATGATGGGATTTAAGAGCTGTCTTAACCCTTCGGGAATTAGGGAAAGTAGGAGACTGCAAGTTTGATGGTTAGAGTAAAAATGGAAAAGTTATGCAAAAACAAAAACTGGAAAAATGTAATTTCAAAAGTTATATAAAATACATAGATTTAATATTGAATAAATGCATTAATCAGAATAATTAAAGTAGATTTAACAAGATACTAAGAAAGTGAAAGTCAAACATTTAAGTGAAAGATTTGTCATGATGTCAAGATGTTCAATAGAAATCTTCCCTAAATAGGTAGCTCTTAAGCTTTCTTTTTAAAATATCAGTATGCATACAACAACATGACTCTTCTCTTACGTGATTGCTGACATATACTGGCAGAATTTATAGTAATTTCTTTATAAACTGCACAATACTCACACCTACAAAAAAATAACTTACACAGCTAAAATATTAGCATGAAGTCACTGGGCAGATTAAATTGCTCAACTGTTTTGTACCTTACTTGTTTCGATGAATCAGTTTAAAATATCATATTGAACATTTCACGTATGTGCAAAGTCCTAACATTTATATCCCTATTTACAACCCCAACATTTACTTCACAATAAAGTTTTCCATTTAAACATATTGATGCACACAATACTGAGAGAGGGAATGGCTGAGTGACTTATAAATTAACGTTGGAGTGTTTTAATGCCAATTCGTTGCAACGTTGTTGTTAGTATCACACAACAAATAAGCGACGATACAAACGCCATTAAAACTGTATCTGACAAGAAGGTAGGGTCAACAACAGTGTCATTGAAAACGTGAAACATGAGTCTATTTTCAGTTTACCACACTGTATGTTGCTTCTGTCGCCACCACGCGGGAATAAACTAATTCCACGTCATCTGTTTCGTCATTACCGGTCACGTTGACTGACACATCAGATAGCCAATAGGGACCATAGAAGCGCCAGCTTCCTCCAATCATTTCAATCGGACGGTTACCGGTGCTGGGCCTTTGAGAGGTATCCGTTTGTTCACTACTGCAACGTGTGTTATCAATACGAAAAGGTAAACAAACTAAAAGTTGTCCTCGTTAACATTTAACCCATGCTGTGTTTTATGGTTCAGACTAATCGAGTTGTCGATAGTGATAGATTCTTAGCAGAGTCCATTAAATGTGTATTCCTTGTTGTGAGGCGATTCAAGTTGCTCGCAAGATAAACAACACAAATGCTAACGTTAGCCTGCTAACTTCCCAGCAGCAGGGTGTAACAACAACGGCACACGTAACGGGTCAAAATGTTCTGATATATTTTGCGATCTTCGCGAGCGTATGTGCTGGATTTCCTTAAGCTTTCTGTTTTTTTTGCCTCGTTCAAGTAGGTTTTTTTCCACGTTTGTAAAATGGGTCGCCGCAAGTCGAAAAGAAAGCCTCCCCCTAAGAAAAAGATGACCGGGGATCTGGAAAGTCAGTTTACCTGCCCCTTTTGCAACCACGAGAAGTCGTGTGATGTGAAAATGTAAGTCAACGATATCACCTCTAAACCCAGCTTTACAATATTTTCCGTTTGACAGCGATGGTGACGGTTGACAACTTCTCTTGTGTTTCCTCACGACAGGGACAGAAGCCGGAATACTGGAATAATATCGTGCACAGTCTGTTTGGAGGAGTTCCAGACCCCCATTACATGTATCCTTTTCTTACCAATATTGTGACATTTTCTCTCCATACAGGCACAAAATAATTGGAAAGATAAGGAGGATACAGTTGTTATTTCAGGATGTTTTACATTCGTATTGGGCACGAACAGTAGAACAATGCCAGCTCATAGTTATTATTCCACATTCATTGTACCTGTTCATTCACATTCTGTCAGGTGAAGTTGGACTGAAACTGTGCTTACTCTGCAGGAAGGTCCATATCTTAAATCTCCACGCCATGTTTCTAATTTAACTCCTTTGCTGGTGGCTGAAAGTGTCACAGGGTTACATCAGCTGCTGGAAAAAAGAGGAACAGACAGCACTGTTGACCCACGAGAGGCTGCCACTTCAAACTGTTGCCGAATTGTCCAATAAATCAATAACGGCGCTGTGGCTGTTTGTATTCTGGTCGGTCTGACAGTTCCACCACTCTTCCGCAGCGCTCCGTTTCAGCCTGTAGACATTTTTCGCACCGTGACGGCTTTGTTTGCCCTCTCACGGTTGTTGTCAGCCAGAGGCGTCACAATGGGCTTGCTGTAGAAAGGCAGATGCTTATGCGTGGTTTCGAAGGTCAGTACCATGGCATTGGTAAAAAACATCCATGGATGGATAATACTGACTGCACTTGTCCTCTGGTGTTTGCCAAAGTTCTAATGATGTAACTGACACAGGCACCTCACATTACCTTTTGCGATCTCCATGAAGCCTCAAGACATAAAAGAATATACTTCAGTCAATGCAAATTACTGTAAAAAGGCCAAGAAATGGAGTCAAATCTAATTCAGTGCATGAGATTTCTCTCTCTCTTGCATTGTTGCTCAGATTGTACTGCAACATTTAAAAAAACTGAGCTGCTCCTTTTCTTGTGTGCCCCCAATTGTTAAATTCGACAACCTTGCCCACTTTTCCTGTTTTCTGGCTGGTGGCATAACCTCCAGTAACTGCTCCTGCTTTGGTTCGAGGGTTAAAGTGGAAACAATTCTACAAGCTTGTAGTGGTTGTGTGCTTTGGAAATGGGAAGAAAAACATCCCCTTGAGAGATGATTAATTTGTCTAAAACAAACATTTGTATTACAAGAGTAACCACTTGCTTGCAGATCAAATGCATGAGATTCACTGATTTTCAGCAGACGTGAGCACCTCTGTTAAGAGAAGTTTGGGCTCTCTGCTGCTATTTGGCTTAATTTAAGCAGCTGTAGCTCAGGTGTAAGAGCAGTTGTCTGCCAATGGGTGTGTTGGTGGTTTGATCCAGGCTTACATGTTGGGTAAGATGTTGAACCCGCAGTTGCCTGTACAGCAGGCTTATATGGGCAAAAGCCAAAAGGCAAAAACTGCTCTGTAGCTTAATGCAGACAGCAGCAGTGATCTTACAGTTGTTGCTGTCTGTAAAATCTGGGGAATTACTATTCAGAACCATTTGGAGTCATCTACTCCCCAGTGAGAAAGATTTTAGATTTGTTCAGTTAGTGTTTTGACTCTTGGAACAAATGGACACAACGCCAAAGAGAAGAGGTTTAATCATAATTTAAAGCATGTTATTCCGTCAGAAAAACAACTGAATAAAAGTAAAACACAGTACATCATACCAACTGTCAGCACAGCCACAAAAATGATGGTTTGGCTTATTTTTGCAGACGTGGGACCATGGCACCTTCCACCGTCGACTTAAATGTATATCACAGTCAAATGTGAGGTCTTACTGTCACTTTACAGGACACATATTCTAAATACAGAACAAAAACTGATGAAAAAGACAAGAATTACATTGTTGCAATGGTCCCACCTTAAACCAGACCTCCACCTGACTGAACGGCTGTCGTTAGACCGTGTTTGTAAAAGAGTGGTATTTTCCACCACAGTGAGTTTAAAAACCTTATACATTAAATATTACTTTAAGTTATTGCTGACAGAGGTGTTTCTGAAAGCTGTTGTATTTAAATATATGATTTATTCCTGTTGAATATATGATAACATTGTGTTGTCTTTTTGTTGCAGCTGAATTAATTCATTATGAGGATATGTTATTAGAGTTAAAAGAGGATTGGTTCTTCCTTTTCATATAACCTTAGATGCTGAATATGAGACCTCAAATTTTCTTTCCCCTCCAAGTATATATCCTCTCCGTTTTGTCCTTAATCCAACTCTCATTAGATCTTTCAGAGCCAGTTGATGTGTACAGCGACTGGATAGATGCCTGTGAAGCAGCCAATCAATAGTCCTCGTGGACCTGAAATCATCTCAGGAATTTGGAGAAGATGAGCTCGTGGCTGGGAGTATATAACCATTTGGATCAAAAAGGGTCAAAGGGGAATGGTTGACACTTTCGGCTGTATTATTGACGGTTGTTTGTTCTTTAGGGGGGCAGGGGGGTCAGTTTGCGAGGTCATCAGAGTTTTTTGCCTCTTGTGTAATGTTTGTCCACAAATCAAAGATTAACACTTTTTTTATTAGACCATTTGTTCCGTGTTGAGTATTGTGATTTATCTTCACACATTCAGCAGGAATTTATTGTTTTTATAAAGTCTTTTGAGTGGATTCTGGTATTGTTTTGAGACTAATTATTATTATTTTTTCTTAGATTACTTTTAATTTTTTTCAGCCTCTAGATAGGAGAACAAAATCTGGGCATTTTCTCAGCATCATTCGGAAGTATTTATGCATTTCAAGTTGAAAATGGTGTCGACTGACAGTCTCTACAAAGTCTGGTTGGAGGGAACTTTTTTGGCTGGATGTCCCAAACTGCATTTCGTTTCACTTCTCATTAAAATACCGTCGTTCATCCAGTTCTCTCATTATTTACGAAATAGTTTATTTTAGCCAGTCCCCCTTTAGCTTGGCGGGGTGATTTTTGTTCATAATAAGTGTATCATAAGTCACTCAGCATCCATTCCCTTAGAATCAAGTCACAGTTTTAGGTCATCCTGTTATAGAAGGAAACAAAGCTGTATAGTGTTTATGCTTAGCTGCTCCTTTTGTGTGTTCTTTCATTGTTCCTAATCAAGTCAGGTCGTCATTAATTGGGTGTTTTTAGCTTACTAAATTGAATAACACATTCAATAGGAATGTATGATTTTTATTTAGAAGCATTGTTGCAGTTTGTTTTTTTTCCTCTAGAAATCCATCTGTAAAGCGGGGTGCTAATTTTCTAATACTACACAGTTATACTTCAGGCCAACAAAAGCATATTTCTGTGTTTTCTAAAGATTTGATTTAAAGGGTGGTCAAAAAAGAGAATGAATGAATTTGACTTGATGATTAGAGTTTATGTGTATATTTGTATAACGCTATGAACAAAATGTATTGTTCTCCTAATAAAATAGATGAAGTGTAAATCTTGCATTCATCAACATTTTTATTTATTGATTAACAGATAATTTGAGTTTTTTGCCAAAGTCGTAAAAACATATTTTGACTATGCTCGAAAGTTTCTAACTCACCTCTTTCTGGGCCTCCCTAATTCCACTGAAGCGAACTGGCAGATAAAATACAGATTAATGAAGAAATAAACTCAGTAAAATATCAGGAATGCATATGTTTTTCATACGTACAGTTCAAGAGAGATAAATATTTGCAAGCTCGATACACACCCACAGATTAAAAAGCATTTGGCTGTGTGTTTTTTCCTGCAGGATGGTGTATGTGGGACTGCATTTAAAGCTGACTATTCCTTATGAAGAAGAAAAATTCCACCAAGCGCATTGTTTTTGGCTCGGTGCTATTCATTTATTTCTTTTTTGTTTTGTTTTCTAGATAGTTTTAACAAAAAACAATGTTCATAGTACAGATAAATGAATAGTCAAGGTTATTACTAGAGTCTAAGGCACATTATTTTTCTGTTATACGATTCCCTGACAAAACAGGAGAAATGCATTACTTGACACACGCTTCCTCTTGAGCTGCTTTATTATTAGGATGAAGGCTTGGTTTTTAGTCAACCTGCCAAAGAAATTGATATTTTTTTTATTACTACAACCCCATTCTGAAAAAATATAGGTTAGATAACCATGTTAAATGTAATTAAAAGTGAGAGTGCTATGCTTTGCAAGTCACATATATCAATAATATATTTGAAAAAAGAACACTGAGAACCCTGTAAAACTCCAGAAAGACATTCAACCGTTTTATTTAAATAAATAAAAAAGACTCACTGAATTTGAATTTAATAGAAGCAAAACATGATTTTGAATTGTTGCCAGGGAAGATTTTGTATAATTTGGCTTACATAGTTCACATACAATAAGATTGAAAGGCACTTCTTACTTCTTACCAAATGGGCTTTTTAATTCAGTTTGTTCGGTTCTACTTTTGATTGATCATCAAACACACCATTCATGAAAAACATGAGCTTTTTTTCCATGGCAAAAGAACGCAGCGCGCAATGTTACCCCATCATTTTGCAGATGGAAAAGTATGAAACCCCATAAAAACACGTTTTAATAATTGCAGCAATTATATTCAAATCTGCTGAAGGCAGATTGTGTGGGCAGCTCCCAGTCTACTGTGCTGTGGCATCTGTGAGCGTGGAACACATTTTTTTAGGAGTGCGGTATCCATTCATTCCCAGAGATCGCAGAATTTAGCTGACCACGAACGAAAGAAGACACAAGAGTTGCGATGCTGTGCGCCAGACAGGGCTGAGTGATAATAGATGAGATGCGGAGTGCCTGCCTGGGCTCTACAAGTGTGTCCGTGCATGTGTGCGGTTCACTTTGTTTTGTATTTGATGATGGACCCCAGCTGGAGAGGTATTGACGACGCCTTATGAAACACGTTGGAGGATGATTACAATGGAGAATGATTATCACTTAGTCTCTCTTCTGTCTCTGCCTGTCCCCTCCCACTCCTTCCCCCTCCCCTCTATTCCTCTCTTCTTCTTTCTCCTCTCCCATTCAGCACGCGAGGTCAAGTGTCACTCTGTCTCTGTTGTCAAGGCTGCCAATCACCCACACAGAGAGTGCGAGGCAACTGTTGCCAAGGAAACAGAGCGATTTTGGTTGCTAGGCACCTGGAGCTGTGCTCACAATAGTCATTTTGTTGCTTAGAAGCACACATGTTCATACAGATACACATAACCATGAAAAATGGCTTTTGCCCGATCAACAAGTTCAGACGACGTCAGTGAAAATTTGGATTAATTAGAACATTACATACTGTCACAGAATTGCTTACACAGTGGTAGGAAATCACAGAAGTGTAAATGATAAGTGTAATTTATCTTCGAGGGTGGGGGGCAACTCGATGCTACCATACTGCTGACTTTGCAAAGAGACGTTGATTTTCTAAATTATAATACCTAGCAATAATGCTAATGTACAAAAAATGTAACCGGAGATGTTTTATTCCACCACCTTTGCTACCTGATTAATCAGCATGCTCGAACGTCCGAGAATTCTCCAAAACCCATACCTCAACTTGATCAATAAAAGACATAAACATCCATCATTCTGACCAAAAATAGTTAGGCATAAAAGCAGTCAATCCCTTATTTCCCCACTGGCGCATGGACCCAGTGAACCTTTGCGCTGCGATGTGTATGTGCATTTGAATGTTCACCATCTATCTTTGTGCCGGTTTTCATAAGATCCGTCAAAGTTGTTTCCCTTCGCTGGCATGTGGGGTGTGCGTAAAACCCCCGGTACAGTTCTGTATCTGCTCGCGTGAGTCTGAATTTCCCATCGCGACAGCCAGTCAGCTGAGTCAAATGCTTAAATGTCAGCCATGGGTGCGAGCCTTTTACATGTCCTCACGTGTTGCTGTCTCGTCTCGCTGCTACAGGCGTCAAATTACTACTACTACTCTGCATAGTGTTATTTCTGTCATAACTTCTACCATAATCATTAGTATTAATATCATTGCCATTTTTCATCTAGTCTATGTGTTGCTGTGTTGGCTGCCTCTCTCTGCTCCCTCTGTCCTTCTCTCGCCCCATGGTTCTGCTCGAGGTTTCTGCCTGTTAAAGGGAAGTTTTTCCTTGCCTGTGTCGCCTAGTGCTTGCTCATGGTGGGAATTGTTGGGTTTCTGTAATTAACTTCAGAGTAGGGTCTGACCTGCTCTGTTTGGAAAGCGCTGTGAGACAACTGTTGTTGTGATGGGGCGCTATATAAATAAAATTGAATTGAATTGATTGAAATTCAAAATTTTCCTAGGCATGAGCTGGAAAGTCGCAAATGGGAAATGCGAGAGTAGGACGACGGCAGAGCACGCCCACCTCGGCACTGTGGTCGTTTAGGTCAAAATACCTTTAAACAGCTGCTATGATTGTGAAGCCATACCGTACGTCTCCCGTTCAGCCTGAGTGCAGCCTGAAAAACTCCCGTTAACCGTTAAGATTATGGGATCACTTGTGAATGAACAGTGTTTGCAATCAAGAAGTCGGAATTAGCGTCTAAGTTGAAGACTTTTCTGTTAAGCCTGCTGAACTAATGCCCTGAGGGCTTAGCTTACTGGCACGGTACAAATCTTCTCCCGCCAGCATCTCGGTAGGAGGGTCTGAATCAGGCAGGATAGAAAATCATCTGCTCCACAGGTTTATATAGCAGCATATTGATAGACCTATGGCTTTGAAAACCTTGTTGGTAGTTAACTTAAATGTAAGGCCATTTGGATTATTGGCTTGCCCTCGTTCCATTCTATAAAACAAACGAAGAAAAAACAAAAAACTTAACTTCACAAAAGAGATGGAAATCGTTATTTGAAAAATGGCTTCTTGGTGTTTCATTAAAAGCTAACAAATGTGTGTATCACCTCCTCAGGCTGGCGATGTATTTACAATTGTCTGTCCAGGCTCTGCCACTGCGGCGCATTGAACAGCACCCCGCTTTGGGTCCATTATTGATGATTAAGCTTCCCCTCGACTACGCGTATTCTCAAGCAATAACATCCACATCTGTATTATCAACCCAAGAATACCCGTGGTCGAGACCGGAGCAAAGATGCCTTCCATTGCTTCCTCCTTCCTCTCAGCTCTGGAGCCCACCATCTTTTTTTTTCTTTTTTTTTTCTGAGTTCTGCTCTCTGAATAAGATTGCAGCATATAAGGAGGAGGTCTTTGTGCGGAGGCGATTCTTTAAGGACAGCACCTATGATAAAGCAGACAAAAGAGATAGTATTTATCCTTGAGTGGCAATGCAGCAGCTTTGCGCTGACACATCCCATGCACACAGTCACATCTTGAGTTAACCGCCAGACGTAATGGCTTGATCGAAGGCTTTATAAT